CGTTTTGGAGGATCCCCCTCTCACGCCTTCGCCGCCACTCCCTTCAACCTCACCGCCAAACAAAAAGCTCAAGGAGGAGTGGCGGCCGAAGCCGCATGTGTCTAAGCCTGCACGGAAGAAAGGTGGAGACCACTATGAGCTGGTTCCACCTCCTGCACCACGACCACCCTGCCCATCCGAGTACTCACTCGCCTGCATCTTGCCGGATGGCCAGGTCGAGCTGACCAATGCTGGTGGTCGCACCCGTCGGGTGCATGGTCACCATCTGAAGCTGTACCTCAAGAGTGATGTGGATCCTCTCTTAGAGGCACCTGCTCACCTGCTCCTGCACCCCGCTGAGTATCCACCATGGGTGTCCAGCTACAAGACGGTAAAGAAGCGCTTGTGGGGAGGCAACCCCACCACGGTTTTCATTTATTTCTTTTGTTTTGAGTCGGATTGTAAACTGGTTTGGTTTTGGTTTGTTTTCTTTTGTTTTGGATGATGTATTATGGGGCTGACCATTGGACCTAACATATTGTGTGTGAGTTCTTCTGTTCCCTTTAGCTGTGCTTTGTCCCTGACTGGTCCACTCTCCAGTCCTCTTCGCGCTTACTGGTCCACTTCCAGTCCCCCGCAGTTTTCAATCTGGTAACATCGTTCCCCTTATCTCTCCCTCTGCTCCATTGAGGGCAATGTCGTGCTTAAGTGTGGGGGGTGCTTTGTATCGGTTGGAATCTATATACATGTGCTTGGAGCCTAGTCCGCTGTCCAAATCTTGAGATTTGAGGGCTCCAAGTACGGCTGTTTGATAATATTGGCACTGTGTTTTGATTGGTGAATTGAATGGTTTTCGGATTAATGCATGACAACTGGATGGTGACTAGGACAACCTATAATGATGACTGAGACGTGCAGTAGAACTGTGTAGGAGTTCAGTTTTTCAACTGTTTGCTTACCAACTGTGACGTGGATGGATCATTTTTTCTTGACAGTCGTTTATGCATCTAGTTCAGGGAATTAGAATGAGAGATAGAGCATATAGGTAGCCATGTGAGATTTGAGCCTGCTCGTTTCTTTCTTGTGCGATAGTTTCCTCTTCCATGATGTGTAGCATTCACGTTGTCATTAGCTAAGATGATGGAGGCATAGGATTAGCCCACGACCAAATTGACTATCCTGGTGTGTCATACCCCCTAGTCAGCCCCTTTGAGCCGTGTGTTATCCTTTCTTTCGGTTTGCAATGAAAAATCACCCTTTTGCATCTCTTAGAAGGTTTTTACATGTTCTCTGTTGTTTCTGCTAAATATAATGTGAGGGTTGGAGGTAGTTCTTAAAAAGTTGGGCAGGTGTTTGAAAAATGTGTAGAGGTGGTGGTTCTCTTAAGAAATGAAAAAAATGAACGAAAAACAAAGAAAAAACGAAAGCAAAAGAGAGCCACTACCAAAAATCTGAATAGTGCCCATTAAGTAGTGTTTGTTGGCAGTCTGGCTTGGAAATACTAGCATTTATGTGACCTCCTTCGCTCTTGTGCTCTAGAGAATGTGAGTAATGCAGAATAGCAGAAAGAAAGTTATTGGTTTGATTGACTGTGAATTTGTTGGGTTTGGAAATGTGGAACCTTGTGCTATGAATACTTCCACCACCTAAAAGGCATTTTCCCCATGTCCAAGACCCTAGCCAGTCATTTGAACCTGTGTCTAAGACCTCCGGATTAGTTAGTGATGACAACCATTTATGTGAACTCTAACATTTAGAGGCTGCCGTGATGGTGAAGAGATGTTAGGGATTGAGAAAATAAGTATGCACATTTTTCGCATCAAATTGTCCTGACCCCACTGGTCGAGAGTGAGCGATTCATTTTCTTGTTCTTTACACTCTTTACCCCGGTGAGGACCTAGATGGCTCGGTCTTGATTCTGATCTCTTGAGGTTTATGCATGAGGTGACTGTTTTGAGTAAGTGGTTGAGTCAAGTCTATGTTGGTTGATGAATAGAAGGGAGACTCCTCCTTTACTCGATTTTGCTGCACTCAAATGTCTTCTGTGGTGGTTGTCCAGGTTGCTATTGAAGTTGTTCATGTGTTGATGTTTGAAAGCAAATATGATTCATGTGTTCTGTGCCTATATGATCTGTCCCCAATATTGGTATGTTTGAAATAGGTGAGCTTACCTTGTGTCTAACTTGGTTTGCTTGGGGACAAGCAAACAGTCAAGTGTGTGGGAGTTTGATAGACCATTGATTACACATGTTTTTCCCCTATCCTTGAGCCGTTTGAGATGTCGATTCCAGCGTGTTAGGCCGATTTCACGCTAGGTTGTTCGTGTTTGTGATATTTCAGGTCCTAGCACATGAATGAAGGCCTGGGAACGAGTTCGGGGTCGATTGGACGAAGATTGGACGTTTGGCGAGAAGCTGGGAAGCCACACAGGCACCATTGCACCTCACACGGCCGTGTAGGGGCCCCTTGTGGCCGTGTGAAGGCTCGGTAAAAGCCACACGGGCAGCCTAGGGAGCCACACGGCCGTGTGGCCTCTACCTGTGCAGCTTGCCTGGTTGCCCACTAATCGAAACGCCGCGTTTGGACACTTACACGGGCAGCTGGGAAAGTCACACGGCCGTGTGAGTCGGGATTTTCTGGTTTTAAGCCAATTTTCAGCAAAGGGAAGAGAGTTCCGAGTTTTAGAGAGACAGAGCGATTCCTAGAGAGAGAAAGCGACGAACAAGAGTTCCCAAGTGCCCTAGCTTGATCTTCATCACCATTGGAGCCCGGCTTGAGCTTGGAGAAGTGCCGATCGACAACCAGGAGCAGAAATCCATCCTTCACAGTATGGTTTCCGCATCTGAATCTGCTTTTGCTTCTTTCTCCATGGAGTAGTTCTCTCATTCATCTGGGTATGGAGAACCCTAGATTTGTATGTTAGGTCTGATTGTATGAACCCAAGTACAGATTCTATGATTTGATTATATTCAATTGAGGTTTGAATGATTGAATGGCATGAATCCTGATCAAATTCCTGTTGTTTCTGCTTTAACCTAGAAAGAGAATATCTGCCTAAGTTAATAGAGCACCCTTAATTGAAGGTAGTGAATTGGCGACTTTAGTCGAGGAGCCAATTCACTATTATGTACCGAGTTTACTTCGGTAGTGGAGGTTTTGTTCATTAGGGCCTCAATCTGTTTACTCCGTTGGAGGTTAGTCGCCCGCTGGGGACTCAGATTGAGAGGGTCTGGAGACCTTTAGTAGAGACTTCAGACTGTTTAAGAACCTTCCGCAGTATAACTATCTTAGAACTTGAACTTGGTAATTGCAATCCGGCTTAACTGCAGTCAAGGGGGAACCATATCCGGGTGACCTCTCTCGACTTGAAACAACCGTTTAACTTGCTTTGTGTTGTTGTTTGTTTGAACCTGCACTTAAGGTTCACCGCTAGCTAATAAGAATTCACTCAGTAGTCATCACATCTAGGACCCGGGTTGACATTAAAACCCAAACCCACTATACTATGCTTTAGGGGGTGGTTACACTTGGCCAGTTTCTAGAGTGACAGTAGGAGTGAGTCAAGAGCAGCGTCGTTCTGTTGACGGAGAAGTGAAAAAGGTGGGCTGGAGGAGAAGAATATCATGCGTAAGTGGGGCGTCCGCGAGCAAACCCTGAATTAATGGCCGAGAACCCATCAGGCAGAAAGGAAGAAAATGTTGTTGGAGGTTAATGTTGACGCATCGATTGGGGTCTTTATAGATTGGGCGGAAGCGAGGAAGCAGAAGGGTCTCGAAGCCTCAATCGTCGGACCAGCATCGCCAATTGGCTGCAACTTGAACTCATTTTGGCTCGCATACGACTGCGCCACCCCCACAGCTCCTAGAGCAACCAGAGCTTGCTTGCGAGACGAGCCACTTCCGAAGTTATCTCCACCAATCACGATGGAGTACCTCGTCTTTGTCTCGTTCGGTTCGATGAATCTCTTCTCGTAGGAAGCTGGGAGGCCGATTAGGGTGTAGGAACCGAGCTTTCCGTATTCTGCGGGGTTGGAAGGGACGAGGGTGAGGGAACCACTAAGGTCAGCTAAGGTCGTGAAGAAAACAGAGTCTCAAGGCGGCGACGATCTAGAGTCGAGGAGCTGATTGACAAGAACCCAAAACCCAGATTGATGGCGCCTTCTCAATCCGGCGGATTACGAAAGGGAAGAGAGGCGAGAGAAGGAGAGAATAGGGTTGGGTCGGACTTATGTTGGGTTGGTTTTTCTAACGTGTCAGCTCCGATTTTGATTTTGATTTTTTTTTTTTTTTTTGTTAAAAGCTGATGACTAGACATCTTTGTTAGCTACGCCAACAGTTAACTTTCAGTATTAACGGAGTTTCGGGGAGGTAGATAGTGCTCGTGGGAGCGGCTATTTCCACAAGCGGGGGCTAGTTTGGACGATGAGGTGGACATTGTAAATATTTAAATTTTAATATTTTTTAATTGCCACGTCACTCATTTAACGGTCAACTATAATAGTTGACTGCCACATCTGCAAAAACCAACGGAGAGTGACCAAACTTGAACTATTGAACTAATCTTAATGACCATGAATAAAATTAAATATTTGCAGTGACCAGACATGAACGTTTTTAGTAAACCCAGTGACCATCCTTGCAATTAACCCTTGTAACTAGGAACCAAAGAAAATGGGAGCGAAAAGGAACTAACACAACCAGGAACGGACGTAAAATTTAGAGAGTAGAGAAGCCTTCAGTCTTGATAATGTTGCTTCATATCAAGCAAAAGAATCAGTTCATGAAATGCTGCTGTACAGGAAACAATCCAGTGACTCAGACTACGAAAACTATACAAATTCAACAAAACGCCTCCCTCCCTCCTACCAGTAAAACTGACCAAGCTCATAAGTTACAAAGTCATCCATCCCATCCAACCAACCCACCACGATAGAATAGAAGATCATTCACAGGAACGCCTGGAGAGAGACCTTCACTATCAGCTAATGAAGACTTCAGGCTCTAACCTATAGTATGAAACCTTCAGTCTGTCCTATACGCCCAGCCATGTTTCTGTAGATATGATTGGACAGCTTCCTTTATAGCCAGGTTAGGAATCAACTGAGATGGTTCAAGTGGTGCACGTGTGATTGGATCAAACCTTCCCACCTAAGTTGATATATTTGCCTTATTCGTCAATGAGAACTGAACAGAACAAATATGCATGCTGAATTTCGGAAGAACTTGTATGGTTACCTTCTGAAGGTGATCGAGAATCACTCCTCTCTCATATGTCACCCCACTTGGTGTGATAACAGGGTCGCGGAAGATATCGAGAGAAATTTTGCAACAAAGGTAATCAGGTACCTGCTATCAATATTGGATTAGTGAATTACTTAAATAGCAATCAAGAGGAATATAATCAAAGCCTAAACAGGGATTAGCATGCACCTCCGAAGGAACGTCATCTTCTCCTGCCTTCTTAAACACTTTGTCCAGATCATCTAACTGCTGTGCATTGCAGGCAGCTGCTGTCTCATCCAAAAATCCTTCACTTTGATGATCATCAAGGAAGTACTTCTCTCTAAGAGCATTCTCACAAGCTTCTCTGAGACAAAAGAAAAGAAATAAAATGAATCACAATGGAAAAATATAACTAAAGATGGATGTTGAATGATCATGTCAGACAAAACTCACTGGGCTTACATACTTCAAGCTCTGTAATTCCCATGAACGTTGTGTATATGTTTTCTCCCACAGAATGTATTTGGCTTTTGCAAGCTCTTGCCATATTTCTTCCACCATATTTTTTCCTGTTGGGTTTGCACCTGTTTCGAGCTCCATTGCCTATGAATGCAACGCAAAACCCGGTATTAGGCATTAATCACATATACCAACTCAACCAGCAAAACTCTTGTTTGAGAGCAATCATAGAAAAAAAGACCCTTAACATTCTGCCAGACACAGACAACACTGCTCCCCCAATGTAACTTGGTCAAATAGCACACTTAAAGTTAAATCCGACTCCCATGATTACTCGAAGGTACAGCATGAAGTAGACATTTCTGCCAGCTACTAATAATTCACAAATGTTTGAAACGGACGAGTTTAATCAGCCTAACCAATGACAATCTCTCTTCGGCCATGTATTGGCCGAATTATAAAAGGAGAGCGAAAGCAAATCTCAATCTGCAAAATTGGATGATAAAAGGAAATGAAATGAGCCAACCAGTGGAATGACAAAAGATAATCCAGAATAACCTTTGGTCATATAAAGGAGCCCCGAACGGACAACACCCCCAACCTCTCCTTGGCCTCCTTTAATGTAATCACGGTACCATAATACTACTACAACGCTAACAGTCAAAACACCATCTAACCGCTAATCTATTGTACAATTTATGTGCTTAAAAAATTGGTTGATAGTATTCATTATCGAAAGCATGTTTGTCTTTTCTAAAATTCCATCAGTGATGGCAGTGGTATTTCCTTTCTTTAGGGGTCAGGTGGCTATTGGACTTCAACTCATAAAATTGGAACAGGTTGTGGTATTGCGACTATGGCAATTGCAAAGTAATATGTCCGTTGCCTAACAAGGACATTGGTTGAATTCCACGTAATTGTGGAAGTCCATCCCCTAAATTCCCTCATGCAACCCTAATTATAAGAATACTGGTTGCAGCAACACAACCAGACAGAGTGGATTTCAAAATATCGGAGTGGGTTACAATTCTAAGGGCAACATTTGCTCCAATTCCTCAGTGAGACAAGATTTAAACCTTCAGTTAAGGGTTCTACACCCAAGCATGTGGCCAAATTTTTTAACATTCCAGCATCTTAATACAGATCAAGATCACTATCACTAAAATTGTCAAAATAAACCTTTTGTACATAGAAATTATGTTGCATGTTAATGGCCACGGCATAACAAAGATACATGATCAACAAAATGGGATAAGGCATCATATATTATCAACAAGAAACGATAATTCAACACTGTGTAACATATCATTCCAAACCTACTCTGGCTATATTCATATAAAGAAACTTCTAGTCTTGCTATAATCTTGTCAGAGGACCTGAAAATTTTTGCTAAATTAAATTGTACCAGTATAAATTGAACATTGGTTTTCCTAAATGATATTCACCATCCAATCCATACTGGTATTGCAAGGAGGCAGAAAAAAACCTGATTGTTGAACATGAATGCAACCCCACTTCTGATCCTTGTGGAAGAGGGTTGTGTAATCAACCAACAATAAAAAGTTAATACAACAAGGGGGGTCAAGCAACCAAGGTAAATTTATGGCCCTCAGAAGAAATAGGTGATGTCAATATCAATGAATAATAATTAATAACGCTGCCCGTATATACTTCTACAGAAAACTTCCAGTTTCCTGCTCAGCTATCTGCATCTTGATAAGGGAACCTAAACCACAAATTATAACTCGCCTATTCATCGGCAATAGATACCAAGACGAAGTAACTAACGAATAATTGATAGAGTTTCAAGTTAAAACCAACCACAAACTATGCTTGTTTTGGACAGAAACAGGAAAAGAAGTCGGACATATGACAGCTAAGAAAATAACAAACAAAAGAGATCATTTTGCACATAACAGGTCTGATCCGAACTAGTGTGGCATTGCATGACACAAATGGAAAATGCCAAAACATTGCTGAGAGGCTTGGAAGAAATATATGCCTCAATCAAATATGCTTGAAACGACCACGACACAGCTACGTAACTAGAACAAATACCAAATGCTAGTTAATTTAATGGAAATTGGTCTTACTCTTTCCAGAGCCCTCACTCCTTCAGCATACTCTTCTCTCTGTAGTAATGCAAGTCCCAGCATATAGTGCGCCTGTTCATGAGTAGAAAACAAGGTTGAACCTTCAAAGCTCATCATTTGGAAAAAAAAGAGGCAGGCAAAAGTAGAGTGCAGCATCCGGAATAACTATTCAGTGTGTACATTATATACTGACATCAATAAACCAAGGTCCAAGAAAGATTACATCTACATGTATAAAGGGGCACCATGGAAGAACCAAATACTACTTATAACTAGGGTTGTTAATAAACCAAGCTATTCGCGAACGGCTCGATCTCGAACTCGATAAAAGCTCCTTCGAATCAATAAAAGCATGATTCGTTTATTGACGAGCCGATGAGCTTAACCTTGTTCGGCTCATGAGGCTCGTGAACTAGCTTGATTAGGTGGCTTGTTGAATTCGACTCGTGAACTATCTCATGTTGAGCTCATGAGATGTCTCAATATTGTAACTAGCGAGCCAACTTGATTACGGCTTATGAGAAAATCAATTAGTATCTTATGAGTTGGTTTGTTAATGATGCATACATGTATTAAATTGTATATCACACCTTCTATGTTGTTTAATAATTGAAGTATGTGAGCAAATATGTCTCGTATATGACATGAAGATCAGTTAATCATATGTATCGTATATGTCATATAAATATTAGGGCATTTAATTCATAAATTATTTTAGAGTTGAGTCGACCGAAATTTTGATCTTAATGGATTCAAGAAATGAGTTGGCTCGTGTTCGGCTCGACTCAGCTCATTAATAAAAGAGCCGAGCTCGAGTTCGGCTCGTTTATAAACGAACCAAATCTTAACAAGGCAAAGCTCGGTTCAGCTCGGCTCATTAACCTCCCTACTTATAACCGTTAGTTAATCATGAATTTACGAAGCTTTTATCTCTATGAAGTTCATGCCCACATTATCAAATAGCAATCCGTTAGGTGGGTATGTGTCATAGCACACGAGCGACAAGGCTACACAATTCATCGCACTGTAGACTATGTGGCTCATCAAAAGGCATATAGTTTCTACCAACCAGATTACCAAAGCCGAAGTATACGAACAGAGAAAGTCACAGTTGAAAGTGCAGTCACCTTAACGGCATTGGGATCAAGCTTGATAGCCGTACGACAATCCTCTTCAACTTTCTTCCAGTTGCTTGAACAACCGGGAAAAAAATAGTCAGAAAAAACGCGAAATACTGGAAAGAACAGAGAAGCTAACACAATCAATGGTGGGTTGAAACATACTTGCGTCTCCGATGGCAAACCGCGCGATTAGTCCAGTAAACGGGCACATTAGGGCACAGCGCAATCGCCTAGCAACGACAGAACACTCGCATGAGAACTAAATCGAAACAAGGAAGACGAAGAAGCAATCACCAGGAAAAAGGCGGAGGAGAGATAATACTTCGGTATAAGCATCAATAGCAGCTGCAAATCTTTCTTTCTTGTAGTAGGAATTGCCGTCTTCCTTCAATCTCTCAGCTTGTTTCTCCGGAGTCAACACCTCTCCCTGCCCCATTCCTACTTTTGCCAAAAGCCCAAAATTTCCCGAGCCTTAACCTTGCGCAGCGTCAGTCTCCTTCCCCAAGAAGTTATTTCTCTCCCGCTCGCTTTGTCCTGTCCCGTAAAACAAAAGAGGAACAACAAAGCGACGAAAGGGACAGGTCGACGCGAGGGAGAAAGAGGAGAGGCGTCTCAAGAAATCAAGAACCTTTTTTTTCTCTACCCTTCCCTTCCACCGATCCACCAAACCTTCCTTGCTTCCTCAAAGAGGTAAATTTCAGCGAAAGCGGGAAACCGGCGTTCCCTTCGCAGCCCCTTCCTCTTTCTTTTCTTACCCTTTTCTGCCTTTCCGTCGATTAATGTGTCCTTCGCTTCCTTCCTGCAGGGATCCGAATCGGATTGGTCTGAGCAAAGCCCAATTTGAGGAAGAAACCTAGAATAAGAAGCAAAACAACTTGGTTGGTTCGGTTTTTAGTTTTTCTTCTTAAGCCTTTTTTTTTTTTTGGGCAAGATTTTCGAATCGGTTGATACCAAGGTTGTCAAACCGATTTATGCCAGTGTGCTGATTTAGCAAGTGGAATGGTTCGACCGGTGGCACATACCGGTTTGTACCGGTTCATGCCAGTAATATTACAAATAAAATTATAAATACTCATTTTAAACATGACATTTAACGTCAACACCTAAACATTTATACTTGAATCCAACAAATAACATCAATATTTAACATTTATACTCATAAAATAAATATTAAAATAATTTTTAACAATTAAATTCACTAAAATAAGGTTATTTTACTTAGAGATTCGTATATCGATCATACCGGTGGTGTCACGCCGGTTTTAAGACCGGTACAGGTTGAACCAGGTACAACCGGTGGCACGCCGGCCGGCATGACAACCCTGAGTTGATACAGTCAGTTTGCCAATGGTTCGAGCCAATGCAGTCAAAAGCGCGATTCTACCTAGAAGCGGAAAATGGGTGAAATCGTAAAGCATAGAATCAGAGCGTAAAAATGTAAGTTTTTGACGCATACTTTAATATAACGAAAAATGTGTTAAGTACGATAAAATATGAGTGGACATAGTTTAGATAAGTTAATAAATACTTGTAATTCACATCTAAAGTTGAGAAACTCATAACATTTTAACAATAAGTTCATAAACATATGTATTAACAATAAGCTACATTCCCCTCTATGCTAGTGAATTTGAGAAGGGCATAGCTGGTGAATTAGATTACTCTATTGAAACTAAGAATGCACCCAAGTACTTGATATGTATCTTTTAATCTCAAATATATCATATTTTTTGTGATTTACCTTTAAAATATAAGTATTTTCAAGAATAGAATACTCTTTTAGTGAACTAGAAGCGTAAAAGTGTAAGCTTTTAAGCTTTAAAGCACATTTTAGTCCCGATTTTATACAATTAAGATTTTATATGCAAACGAAAGCGTTTTGGTGTCCTAGAAGCGTAAAACCGTAAGTTTTTAAGTTTTAAACCGCGATTTTGACTGCATTGGTTCGAGCGCTGATTCATGGTACAACCGGTTTATTTCAGTTCATGTTAGTGGGTTAGTTTGGTTGTGCTATATCTTTTTCAGATTCAACTTCTGTCTGGAGATATTTAGAGAAATACTTTTAAAAAAAAGCGATTGTGTGTTTGGCCGAAAAACTATTAGAGTTTTTCAGAACCACTCTAAAAAACAAGGGGTAATACCACTGGAAATACTATCCTTTAGCGAAAGTGTCATTTATATTACGTGCTTTCGATAAACACAAAAATATTCCAATGTATTAAGGGTTTGCGTCATTTGTGTTACGCGAATTTCTGTTGACCACTAGAATTAACGGTTGACCTTACGGTGGTCAACCTTTGTTTGACCATTGATGAAGTGGCGCCTATGTGTCATCCACATATGCGACACATAGATGCCATAGAAGAAAATAATATTTAATATTTAAATTAATTCTTTTAAAATTAAATAATTAATATTTTATAGGAAATAAATTTTAGTTTTTACCCACCGCCGGGAACGCCGCCCACCCCAAAAAGCTCACCGCCCCATTCCTTAGCAATCTTCTTTTTTTATCAGCATATAATCCCTCTGCAACTTCCACTAGATTTTGATGAGCTCGATGAGAGTAGCCTGTCATCAACAATCCCAGATCTCCCCACAGATAGCATTCGTTGATTGATATCTTTGGATCTGCTGGTTTGGCTCCGTCGTTGGAGCTGGGCAAGGCGAATGGCGTGTCTCATGGCAGGCCGAAAGAGAGGTCGGAGACAAGCCGTGTGTGTCTCTGAAAATGGAGAATCACATGAAAATCGGGAGAAGCGCTGCTTCGCCACTATAGAAGCGAGTGAAGGAGCCAGAGAAATGGGGAAGAATCCAGATCGAAACCACCACCACCAAAGCTGTCTTACTCTATCTTTGAAGAATCCCAATCCGTCGCCGCATCATCCCAACCCAGTGTCAGTGGGAGATCGTTCGGTCACTACCAAAATTCCCAATTTAATCTCTCTGCCTCCTGGGGATTTCGATTCAGATTTGAAGACAAACATATAGGATTCAATTTTGTTTGTGGAGATATCTAATAGATTCCTTCCTAGTTCATACTAATCACACAAGCGCCACAAGAGGAAGAATATGGTGGAGGGAAGGCCTAGTTGACATCGGAGGAGGTGGTGGGTAGCCATCGGAGCAGGGACAAATCTCATATAGAGGAGAAAGGTTCGAGGCCAGTGGGTAAAAGTTCAGAGAGGAAGACGTATAGACTTGTTTTTAATTAATAATATTTTTAATAATTATTTTTATTAAAAATTCCATGTCAGCCACCATGTCAATGCTGACTGTATTTTCCGTTAAGCACTAACGGAAAATTTAACGGTTGGTATACAAATGACATATCGAAAATTACATAATATAAATGACACTTTCGTTATAGGTTGGTATTTCCAGTGGTATTAGCCCAAAAAACAAAGAAGAAAAACACTTTTTTTTAACATTATTCTGTATACCCTCTTTTTTCAGAGAGAGAGTGCGATTACTCGGTGACTTAGGGTTTTCGTGTTTTTCTCATCGCCGGCTCCGGCATCTGCACCGGAGCAGCTCCTTTCCCCCTCTTTTTATGTTCTCTTATGAGTGAATTGAGTGCTACGATACCCATTTCGGCTTCAGAGACACTAAATGACGATTCCCGGGGGATCCCATCGAAACCCTGGGCGTCGCTGTTTGGGATCTCTGAAGCCAATCGCCTTACATATATTCCACCGGAGGCTATCAATGGAGGATTGAGGATGCCCAAAGTTGTTCGTGAGGCAGGAGCTGCTCGCTAGAAGCACTGCTTAGTTGGTCAGTTTCTGCAGGATCCGCCTCCATTGTATGTTCTACGTCGCTGGGTTAATAAGCTTTGGGGGCGGGATCGTCTGGTGAGGGTTTCGCTACTCTATGACAAGATGTTGCTCATTCAATTGCCCGAAAGTTTGTGAGTGGATTCTTGAAAATGGTCCATGGTTTTGGTTCAAAAACCTGTTGTATCTTCGACCTTGGGTTCCAGGTATTAGTGTTGAGGATTTGGGGAGGAAGGCTCTGCCGATTTGGGTGAATTTAATGAATGTTTCATTAGAGTATAATGACTTCCAGGGGTTGAGTAGGATAGCGAGTTGGATTGAGGTTCCACTGGGTATGGATCATACAACCCGGATGGGGGACAGACATGGTTTTGCCAAAGTTCTGGTAGAGCTTACAGTTGATAGTGAATGTCCTGATCATGTTCTTTTGTGGCCTGATGATGATTCCTCCATACGCATTGGAATCACCTATTGTAACTTACCCCCCATATGCAATGTCTGTCATCTCTTTGGCACTACTAGCTCATGTACTGATCATCAAGGTAAACAGTGGGTGGCAAAGTCAGTGCAAAATGAGGAAATAAGTACAGCTCAGGGGCAGAATGACAAAGCTACACCGGTGAATCATGAAGGAAGTACGACTGTGGCTCAACAGGGAATGCTGGATAAGGGTAAGGAGGTGGTACTTTATGATGATGATCCCCAACTGATGGTCATCTTTACTACCCCCAGTCTGGTGGGAGGAAGCAAAGTGGTCCCTTAGAGCAATCCTTCTAGGAAGTGGCTACGTCTTCATCACCAAAGTTGCCATCTGAAGCAGAGTTTCAAAGAGTAGTAAATGGAGCTAGACCTCGCGTCTGGCTTTCTCAGGATAGCTCTAAAGGTATTCAAATTTCGAATTCATCCTTCAGTGTTCTAGGGAAATTGAATGATAAGGAAGCAAGTAAGGGAACTAGTAAGATACACGAAGCACCAAAGAAGAAAGAAGTAAAGAAGGATTTGAAGAAGGGTGAGGGGAAACCCCCAACTTCGAAATGATCATTTTGTTCGGGAATGTACGGGGGTTTAATAAAACCTCCAAGCAGAGGGACTTGATGCAAGTCCTACGTAGAAGTAAAGTAGATGTAGTAGCAGTTCTTGAGACCAGGGTGCAGGCAAATAAAGCAGAGGAAGCAGTAGAGGAGGTTTTTTTGGGTTGGCAGAAATGTCTTAACTGTTTTGATTCAAAGTTGGGAAGAGTTTGGTTGTTTTGGGATCCAGCCATAAAGCTACAGATACTTAAGCAAGAAAGAATTTCATTCATTGCTTGGTCGGAGATATTAATAAGAATTCCTTCTTCTTAACAGCAGTATACGCTTCTAATGATGAGACTAAGAGGTTGAATACTTATAAGGAGATCGCCTAGTTGAAGGTGGTGGGTTACCCCTGGATAATTGGGGGAGATTTTAACACTGTAAGGGCTCCTCGGGAGACTTCTAATCAGAGATCAGTTACTTCAATTATGGATGGTTTTAATCAATGGATTGGGGAGATGGAATTGGTGGATTATAGAACAACGGGGCCACAGTTTACTTGGACAAATCGACAAGCTCAACACCCTATTGCTCGACGCCTTGATAGAGGTTTAGTTAATATAGAGTGGATTGAGCAGTTCAAAGAT